AATATTCACATATAGTTTCGATATCTGCTGTAGCAATTCCAATTTCAACAATTTTCTTCCATTTAATTGTTTACTTTCTTGGCGCTACACTTATTATTAAACTGATCTGACTAATACTATTATGCTTAATATTATAGGCATTCCATAACGCACTGATTTATTGTCAATACGGATACGCGGTGTCCACATATAATGTTAATGCTAAAAATGGCGGAATATTGAACTACCTAGAATGTCTTAGGATTAGATTAAACTATTTCAAAATTTGATTTTGCAAGCATAAGGTTATGGGACCCAACGACTTAGGATATGGAGATATGAAGTGTACGGCAGTGGAAAAAAATTTCCGAGAAGAATCTGTCAAAAACTGCATTCTGTCATCGTTTCTATCCCCAAGTTGATGTAGTGACAGAGCCGTATCATCGAAGCCATACGATGAGGCGCTAGCGAACAGCGTATGAGATCAGTATTTGAATAAAAATTCACTACCTATGTACAAAGGAAGCATTCTAAGGTCTTAACTCACTATCAGATGCGGCTCTCAGTTTAAGTGAAGTGCAAAGCTACGATAGTGAACCTCTTGCGAGCAACATTAGTAAGGAGGAGACAACAGAATCTCACGGAATTTTACAAACTTCTACGCGTAAGGATGACAGACTTACGTCATCGTTTCAGGTTGTAACATGTAGACGAAAAAAGCCTCATTTATTCAGTGACTCTCGCGTTCAGAGCAATGATGAAGCCGAAATTCAAGTGAAATTAGTTTTTTGAGGAGCTAAGCATAATATCACTTGTATTATAAAAGCCAAAGAAAAAAGTGAACTTTTGTAAGATTGTGGTTCTTCAAATAACGTCGTAACCATAAGAGTAGTTAACGTAGTTCATTTTCTAATGGGAACAGACTTTCCAACTAACTTCAACTTTACAAAGTGGAACTCTGAGAGAATTTTATTCTTAGAAATTTGGCCATTCCATGGACTCCAAACTCCGGCACGAGTTTTGTCATTATAGCTCCTTTTCCCTATTTCATCATGAACGCTGAACTGTGATTGGTTAGAAATTTAAACGGGACAAGTTGCT